ATATGAGGAATAATAAATAAATAATCTTAAATGTTCTAACCTAACCTAACCCAGATATGAGGAATAATAAATAAATAATCTTAAATGTTCTAACCTAACCTAACCCAGTTATGACGAATAATAAATAAATAATTAAAAATATTCACAGATAAAAAAATGATTTTTTTTACTAAATGTACAATTGTAAAACAATATATTTTACATAAATCAAATAAAAAGTCATAAATGTATTTATAAAGTGAAAATAATATTTTTCTTTTTATTTATTTATTTATTAATAGTAATATTTTACCAACAGAAAAAGCAAAAATAATCAAATATAATCTGTTGTCATTTAAGCGGTAATATAAAACAAAGTGTCAGTTTTGCTTTTGTCAAAATGTAAGATCATTTTGTTTGTGTTGTGAAATTATTAAAATATTAAATACAATAAAGCATTAATTGTTGTGAAAATGTGTAATGTACATAAAAAAGGATGCGTACTATTCGATAAAGGTATGTTTATCTGTTGTAATCACTTATTTAGGTAAAGAAATGTATGGAAGATATGTTATAACTTTAAGTCTCAATAACTTTTTACTCGTACGTTTAACTTTAAGTCTCAATAACTTTTGAATCTTTTGTTGTATTAAAAATTTGTGCCGCAAATCGTTATCTAAGATCCGAATCCGATTTAGCTTTGAGTTTAGTTAAATTTACTACTGCATATTAAACTAGGTTATAGTTAGAATATCGTTAGTGTATGTATTGATGGTTTGAATTTGGGAATTTTGCATTATATAGCTATACTAATATTGCCCGCGGCCTCGCCCGCGTTCAGATGACCAAAAACCAAATTCTTAGGTTTTACATATTAGTATACTCTTACAATGCAGTTTTTGTATTTTTTCTCAGAAATGAGATATTTTCTCGCGGTAAAAAGTATCCTATATAATATATTGATCCCTATAAAATTCCTCCAGTAGTTTTTCTGTGATGCGGTAAGAGATAGACAGACAGACAAAAATTCTAAAAACTATAGATTCGGCCTCTGTATCGAAAATAATGTTTATTTGAATATGATTTTCTAAAAAATATTTAATATACAGATTCGGCTTGGTAACAATTTTATTATATGTATGATTTATGTATATGCCCATAACTACTAAAGATGACCTCTACGTCCAAAAAAATGTATTCAGCCCTTTTTTAACATCCCACTGCTGGGCAGTATTTAGTACATAATTATAAGTAGTGTTTAAGTAACACTTAGCGGATATTTTTGTAATTATAATAGTTGCTTTATTGCTTTATTATTTTTATATTTTAAAGTACCTATTAAGTATTATTTTGAAGTACGTTCAATATTTTCAATTTTTTTACTACTTATTGCTTTCTACATATATACTAAATACTTATATTATTATAAATATGAAAGTTTGTTTGTTTGTTTGCCTTTCTTTTACGTTGAAAGGGCTTGGCGGATTGGCGTGTTTTTTTTGTGTGAAGATAGTTCGAGGGCTGGAGAATGACATAGGCTACTTTTTACAACGGGAGATTATCTCTTTCTTACGGGAAAACACGTTACAATACAATCCAAAAAAAATATGATCAGAATTACTTGAAACTTGGTATAAATGCTCTTCAATACAATCAAATATATACGTATTTTAGCATTTTTCGAAATTCATCCCATAAGGGAGTAAAATAGCGAATGAAAGTTTGTATGAAACCTATCATTTTAGACATTTCTTTGTAGTTTTAGCGCGAGCGAAGCCGCGGGTTCTGCTAGTATTAAATAATGTATTATTCTTATAATAAAATGTTTATTTTTAAATGGATGCCCATTCTTTTTCTAACAATCTCCTATATACATATACATATATATATATATATATATATATATATATATATATATAATCTATTCCATTCTAAGCGTTAATAACGTACCTAGCGACCAGTAAGATTATAAATATATGAATTATGAGAACTCTCCAATCAAGAAGATCTCTTGACATAAAAGATTCCTACAATTTTAAATCGAGGTTTTTAAAGCAATTACGTTTAACACTTTCCCCTATTCTATTTAGTTTGTTCTAGATTAACTCGTTTTTTTTTAATTTCTGATAATTTTAATATGATATAGAATTAAATTTTAATAATACCGGTTAAATATCTTATTATTATTATATAGCCTGGTGCAAATATATTTTTACTTCATAAAATACAATTTTCGACTCCGTAGTTTTTAGTGTTACTTTTTTATAGATATACTCGTAATCAGACAGATATAAAATAGATGTGAACCTAAAAAAAATTATAACCCGATAGGTTGGGATCTAAAAAAAATAGCTCGGTAGATAAGGCATATTAGAAAATAAAAAAAAAATTAGTTATTCATGACATATGTAATTATTAATTTTTTCATCATTATTAATTTACCGGTGGTAGGGCACTGTCAAGCCTGAGGAGTTCGACTGGATGGGTACCTTATCTATGTCTCCCGCCAAGCAACAATGATTACATTGTTGTGTTCCGGTTTGAAGGATAAGGTAGCCAGCGCAATTACAGGCAAGATGCATATCATCTTAGTCCTCAAAGTGACAACGCACGCACCTGCGGTTCTGCAGTTTTCTAATATAATACCTAAGTGCATGAACCGTAGGTGTTATGGGCGACAGGTACAGCTTTCCATCAGGTGCGCTGTCTGCTCGTTTATCACTGAGTACAATAAAAAAAATAGTCGACTAACAAATATTATCGGACGAATAATCATTTTTAAGCATATTATTTTAAGCATACGGACAACTAGGAATAGGCTATTTTCTTAGGGATCTGTCAATTTTTGAAATTTAAATACAGCCTACGCTATTTGTGTAAGCCTATTTATAGGTAAAAGAGTTTTTAAAGTTTATTAAGTAGTTTTTGATTTATTCATTACAAACAAACATATAAACATTCAAAAAGTTAAATACGTTTTCTATATAATATTATTATATATATCTACTCCAAACATAATAACTTATTATCTATATAATATATAGGCAAAGATAAAACAGTGCAGTACCGTTTTCTCCTATGTTTTTCAACCAATTTTCATTCTGATGTAGGTAAATTCTATTCATATATCTCAAGTTTTCAAAGATTATGGTCGAATTTCGACAACAGCATTCCCAAGGAGGGTTGACGTCAGGCAGGCGGCGGTCGTAAAATTTTTGCCAATTCCTGTTAACAGTACAGAAGATGTACTGCGCCGACCCCAAGTGATTGTGAAATGGGCAGGGGGGAAAAGATGGTCGAATTTCGACCACAGAGCGTCGAATTAAACATCCCTTCATTCAGCTATTTTCATTAGCTTAGAAATGTCAATAATATGTCCTTTTTTATTTCGATAATTCAAGGAACAGTTTGTGATGCTTTGTATTGTAAAATATAATTACAATACACGGTTAAAGAAGGCTTATTTAATATATACAACATCAAAATAATTTCTGCTTGGTACGTTTTATATCCTACTAATATAAATGCGAAAGTTTGTGGGTATGTATGGATGTCTGGATGTATAGATGTATGGATGTTTGTTACTCTTTCACGCAAAAACTACTGAATGGATTTTAATGAAACTTTACAATAATATAGCTCATGCATCAGAATAACACATAGGCTATTTTTTATCCCGGAAAAATGTATAGTTCCCGTGGGATAGATTTGTTTTTATTTTCTAGAGGCGAACATAAGCAAAGTGAGGGTGAGCTGGGTGATAAATGTTTCTCTTTGTAAAAATAGAGCGACTCTACGCAGTCACTGACTAAACACGATTGACAATGGAAAACCGATACTAAAACGTTTATAAAGCGGGGAACTGCAGACCGATATTTTGTTTCTAGGTGATTCGATGTATTTACGACCTCGGGGAGGAAGCACTAATGTTGATATACTTTTTATTTTTGTTACAGATTTATAGAATGGTGATTGAAGATGTTCAGTTCTGTAAAGACGTTTTGCGTTGTTCTATTAAATTACAGTCATTTGGCAGTTCTGCCTGAAAGTTTTCTCGAAGTCTAAAACTTGATAATTTCATACAAGTTAAAATTCTACATTTTTTTGTTTAAACTACTAAGTAGCTATGGAAATATTTTTCGTAATCTCTCTGTAATTATGAAATTGATTGAAATCTGACTTGACTGAGACTAAAGTGCAAAGGCACAAATGTACTCATATTAGTCGGTGAAACCATTCAATATTTTGTGAAAAAAAAAAGAGTAGCTTGACATGGCATAGGGCTCGAACCTAGGACCATACTGGTAACCGTACATGCTAGCCACTAGACATTACAATAAAACAGATATGACCAACCCACGTAGTTTTTCCTGTAACATTTATGTAGTGATAACTAAAATTACTTATATGGCGACCATTTGTATATTTTTACTTTATGTTATTATGTTGTTCTCATGTAAGTGACTTTGTTTTTTTGAGAATAAAAATTCTTTAAACTTAAAATAAAAATTATAAGTTCCTAAAAGAAGTTTTACATTTACTTAAAAAAATTACACTTTATAATCAATTCAGAAGAACTTCTTAGTTAAAAGTAGAAGAATTGGCGAAATGTGAACAGAACTGCATTTTAGAATTATCACTAGGTTTCACCTTCGGCACCACTCGTAAATTATAGCCTGTTTTAACTATAGATGAAATTACATTTTCTTAGTGTACGAATCTCTATTAATAATTGTCAAAATTATCTTTTCTACAATATACATATAGAAAAAGTGATTTTATTTCTTTATTATAACATTTAACACCTCCAGGTATTAATTAAAATTCTAAGAAATCTATTCTTAACTGACACGCCGGCGTGTCCGCAATCGTGGAGGGATTAAATCTTAATGAAAATAAGCAAATACAAAAAAATCTGCGACATGTTCTCTGCTGTTTGTAAGACGATTTACTTTTTTTTTTAGTTTAGTAGCTATTGATGAGCTTTAGTTGTTACCAATAAAAAAATTGGAAATACTTACTTTTTTACTCGATTTCCAAAAAAGAGGAGGTTCTATATATTTTTCTTTTCTATATACGAGTATGTATGTACACAGGTTTTAATTCATATATGGTTTGCTTAAATTTTCCATTAAGATATTGTCGGATCGATCACTGGACAACCACTAGTTTATATAAAACCATGCAATTCGAACAATGTGTACTCTACCAAGTGATAAACGTCGCATTACTTTAACTGTACTAACGCTATTTCCTTCGGAAGCGAGTGTAAAACCGATAGCGCTGCAAATAAATGCTGATATTTATTTCACTTAGCATTCGCGTATTTTAAACTATTTCGTTTTACTAGAAATGGTTTCTATACTGAAAGTGGTAACAAGCGGTTGCCTGGAGATGAATGGTATTATTATTACATACCAATGATAATAATTTAGCCTTTTTGAAGTCCCACTTTTGGGCACAATTCTCCCTGTAATGCGAAGGGGATCAACTTATTGTCCATTACGTTAATCATATGCGGTTTGCTGGCCTTCACACGTCCTTTAATGTATGGTAAGTTCTCTCAAATGCATGTTTTTCTTAAAATGTTCACAATGTTTTGTCGTATAAGCAAGTATTAAAAATGATTAGGATATAAAATAAAAAACTTAGAAATACAGGTTCGAACTTCAAAATATGGACATCACTTGGTTTTATATAATGGCGATTGAAGATGTTTAGTTGTGAAGACGTTTTGCTTTGTTCTACGAGTATTATATTACAGTCATTTGGCAGTATTATGTTAATATACGCATATAATAGGCTACCATTGCTTATTTTTATTATTATTATGAGGGTTAATGCTAAAGCTCGTCAATAGCTATTAGAAAAAGAAAATCTGTCCATAAACAAAAGAGCAAAAGTTACTAAACTATTTTGTCTTTACCTACTCGTATCTATATAAAAAAGTAACTGTTTCCCAAAGAAAAAATTGACACTTTTGCGTTGCCTGCAAAAAAAAACGTTTGACAATCAGGGGAGGGAAAAAATAATGACCTGCTTCGTCTTTGCCTATTTATACATAGAGAGATACCCACCCATACATATTAAATAAAACTATCTTTTCGGATTTTTCCCGTGACCATTGTTGCTGTAAAGCATTCGAAACGTCGGAAACCAAAAAGTAAAAAAAGCCCGCCAAAAAAAACCGAAAAGATAGTTTTATTTAAAACCTAAGAAAATATTACCCATATTCTTTAAACCCACATTGCAATATGCTTGATTCATGAAGCTGATAAAATTTGAAGAGCAATTGAAAGATCGCTTACGTGTGCACCGACATGTGGCTTGTATGTAACATAAGCTGTTCTTTCCACTGTTCTCATACGGAAGCGCTCCGCGTTGGTTAACCGATGTAGATTGTTTGCTAGACGGAGATGAACTTGGCTAAGTAACTCGTAAATGCCAGCTATACATATTATGTAAATATATTATGTATATTATCTCAGATGCTTACATAATATAATTTTAACTATATACAGGGTGGTTGGGTTAAGTATTTTATTATAATGTAAACGAATGAGTAAAGTATAGTAGCCCAGTGGTAACGCGCTCGCTTGGGGAACTGATGAAGGTGAGTGAAGCTGGTTCAAATATCGGGACTTTTTCTTAAATTAAATTATCCTAAGTTAATCAATATTTATTTATTTCCTATTTATTTATTAAGTTACTCCTTATAACATCAGTTATCTGCCAGTGAAAGTCTGGCCAAAATTAGTCCAGCCGTTTCGGAGATTAGTCGAAATAAACAGACAGATATTCAAAAGGCAAAAAAATTAAAAATTGTGTTTTTCTCCTAAGTAGGTACCGTATACATATAATTTCATGTTCATTGAATAGAAACATGTTATTTTGAATTACAAACAGACACTTCAATTTTATTTATCTGTATAAATGTAGCGTATAGCTTTTCTAGTTCATTTACATAATTAAAAATATAAGATACAAATAAATCTCGCTGCTATTTATTCATATATTTTCATTGAATTTAAATAATGAACCTCGAATTACAGAGACTTTTCATATCTTCAAGCGAATAAATCTGGTTGTAACCAAGATTAATTGCTTGTTAAATACACAAAGAATGCCGGTCAATGCTTGACCTTTACTGATGCTAAGAGTGGAGAGGTCATATAGAGTCCCGTATAGAAGAGACAGAGATCCATTCAAAAAATCAAACTTTCAGTCTATCTGCTCATTTTTATACAGGATGGAACGAATAGATGGGACATGGAAGAAAAGTATCTTAAATATTGAAGTTATCAAGATTTGCTCAAAGAATCATTTATTTATTTTAAAAAATAATAATAACTGCATTTATTTAGTTTTAAAAAAGCTTACCTGAACCGGGAATCGAACCCAATAAAAGTGTAAAAATAAACAGGGTCTATTGTAAGGATAAAATCTCTCAATCAAACATTGCGTCTTAGAATTAAAGAAATCGACGAAATCTTACAATTTATACTTATCGACTCTAACATCGTGGAACAAACGCACGGGACATGGAAGAAAATGTCTTCCGGTAAGTTTATAAAGACTTCTTCAGAGATTTCTTCTTAATGTTGATTTGCCTAGATATTTTAAGTCAACCAGATATTAAATCAATGCGGTAACTTAAATATATGATTTTTCAAATCCTTTTTCTATCCTTCATTATGAAAGAAACGCAATTGAATGAAATTTTCTCAATAATTTTATTTTCAAAAACTATGCCCTTTTTAGAGATTTTTGGATTTCTTGAATTTCTTTTTTATACATATGTAGAATAAATACTCAAAGGAGGAAAATATATTTTATTATCTGCCGTTAAAACAAAGTTTAACTTAACCAATAATTATTCTGACAATAAATTAAATTAGATTTTAGATTTAGTACTGTGCAAAGAATAAGGTCGATCGGATATTCGATATTCAATCTTATTCGCTAGCGGTTACAGTGACCGGCATGGGCGGAGCTAGCGTGGGGATTTCTTTTCACTGCCCCTAAAACGCATAAAAGACAGTCGTCCAAAAAAAAATGTTTTTTGCGCCAGAAATCTTCGCAGACGTATACAGATTAAGCTATCATAGTTTCATCACAATGGTTGGAACTGGTTTCGGAACACATAGAGAACAAACACACGTACATACGTTCATATTTATTTATATAGATAAAGAGATAGATATATGTTAAGTAGTATTTTCCCGACTGCGTTGAAGCCCAAAACAGAGTTATGTGCTTAATCTGTATATATAATATGTATGTATGTCCGAAACTATGTTGATCCATTTTGATGAATCATTTGTTAGATTTAAGTTAGATTCGACTCATTAACGTAAAGTCATATACGGTATGATATAATTATTTAAAATCAAATAGCGCAATTCCAAACAAGATCTCAGAGGATTGTATTTATGAGAATTATAAATAAAACAATTTTTAAAATATGGATTTTATCTCGTTTTTAATTAGATTTTAATTTTCCATGGTTTCGACTGCTTTTCAGCAAACATGGTCACGGGAGAGACTAAAGCTATAGAGGTCTCAATAGTTATAACAAACAGTCCCTACCCAATTGCAAAAGCAAAAATTGTACAATAATAGATAAATGGAATTGGAAAAGGTAGAGTGACACTAAAGTACCTTAATGTTTTAAAAGTTTTAAGAATCTATATATAAAGACAAACCTTTTTTCCTCTGTTTGTCAAATGATTTTCTTTTTTTGCTTAGCTACTGATGAGTTTTAGTGGTATTTACAAAAAATGCTTGAGTTGCTATTTTATCATGATATTTACATTTTTTAAGATTTTTTAAAGCCGAAACAGATATATTTCCTCAAAGGCGAAAGGAGAGCTTTTTCAGACGACGACGAAAGTTACGTGATCAAATTTACGCAAACCATAAATGAAACGAATGCATACATTTTGAAGTCAATCTAATTTATTGAGTACACAACATTTACACACTCAATATACGTTACAATATTTTACTTATTTATACACTAGCGGACCACACTAGTAAAATACATATGTATTTCTTGAAATAAAATATTATATTTAGTCCTGGGAGGCTGAAAATTATTTATTCCTTACATTTTGGGTAGCACCATCTATACATAATTATAATAAACATTTTACTGAGTCGAATTTGAACATAATTTTTTTTTTGTAAATGTTATTGAAATAATCATTATTATCGATGCAGAGGCCGAATCTATAGTTTTTAGAATTTTTGCCTCTTTATTTCCTTGTCTGTCTGTGACCGCATCACGAGAAAACCACTGGACAGACTTTGATGACATTGGATATGATGATAACTGGTTATCCGGGTCAACATATAGAATAATTTTTACTGCAGGAAAATATCTCATCTCTGAGAAATCTGTACTAATCATTAAGACGTAACTAGAGACAAACCCAAGTAGAGCGAGGGTGAGTCCCTAGTCTATTGATAAATTTAGAACTAAGCTGTTCCTTATAAATATTGATAAATTGAGATTTTAAATAAAACTATTTTTTCGGACTTTTTCACGGATTTATTAAGAATTTTGTTTCTCATCGCTTCAATTTTTTTACAAAATAATGATCTTGGGAGAGACTAGGTATTAAATTATTACGACTCCTAAAAACTAAAAAAAAATACTTTTTGCCAAATATGTAAATAGAAAATTTACGTCTACATTTTGTACCATTCCATTTAAATGCACATCAGTGATCCTACAACGTCAAAATAAAACTATTAAAGAAGATTTATTGAAAGCTAAATTTTGAAGAAAATTCAACTAGAAGTTTGTTTAAAGATGGTCTTCATGCTGTAAATCATAAGAAATCTATACATATAATAAAATTGTAACTAAGTCGAATCAGTAAATTAAATATTTTTTGGAAAATCTAATTGAAAAAGACATTATTATTGATACAGAGTCCGAATCTATAGTTTTTAGCATTTTTGTCTCTGTCTGTCCGTTCGTCCGTCTGTCAACATATAGGATACTTTTTACCGCGGGAAAATATCTCATTTCTGAGAAAAAAATACAAAAACTGCATTGTAGG